AATCTGAACTGTTGAGATCTGATATTTAAGCAGATTATTACCTTTATTCATTTCTTGTGGCTGTGACTTTTAAGACTTTGCTGTCTTATCCAGTAGCTTCTCATTTGTAAAGGGGTGCAATAATAGCCACATCTTCAGGTTTTCTGCTTTGTTTGTTTTTTTAAGAAATACTTGGACAGACCTCTTTAGTTCATCAAGTTAATGAAGTTTATAGAGTTTGTTTAAAAAGAGAGCCTTCCTCTTTATTGTTGTGTCCTTCCAATTTATTGTACTCTCCAGATTTTGTTTAAAATTGAACATAATTAGTCCTAGTCAAAATCCAACATATGCCTGCAGAAATCCCAGTGACTATTATTTTGCATGCTTGTATACAGTGAATTGACCAATAATATGTTGTTTGATTGTATTACATTATGTAAATGACAGTAGTTTACTGTTTATGTTTTGCATGTATGTGCGTGTATGTGGTATGTGCCATATAAAAATTAAGAATTCTCAGAGGATATGATCTCATTACATAAATGCAACCCTAGCTGAGCAGTAAGTGACTATCTCTCTGACAGCGATCAAAATATTTTCCCATACAGCCTTACCTAGTGAGAGTTTAAATTTACTGCACATTTGCTTGTTGAGTTCATAGACTCTATTGGACCCTAAAGTTATATCAACCATGGGGATTGCAGTAGTGCCAACCACCCTTCACACAACATGCTAATAAAAGTTTCTGACCTTTGTATAACTTTTAAGTAATTACTATAGCTAATACTGCTAAAGCAATTGCCTGAATTCTGCTAACAGACAGAGGGAGATTCTGTCCAAAATGGAGGCATTTTAAGCCATCTAGGTAGTCTTCAATGTTGAGAGCACGATGGAGTGACTTGGTCCTTCTCTCTGAGATCTCCAAGGACTGGAGCATTGGTGTGGCCTGGCAGTTTACTCGCAGTATCTGTCCACATTCAGGGAGCAGCATCTGTCCCACCATGACCAGTCAATCCCAAGTTAGTTTGGCCCTTTCCTGTGCTGATCTTCTAGAAAAGCCCATAGTGAGGATCGTCAAGGGACTGGGTTCAACCTTGAACCACTAATTGCCTATTTCTGGGTGAGTTTTCTAAGCAGCGAAATATCACAAAGACTACAGAGGGCACCACTGCTTCATCAGGCATGTTATCCTCAAATAAAAATGACATGGAAAGAAAGTATCTATGATATCCTCCGCCATCAATAGTAGACATATTAGAACTTCTTGTAGAACTTCTGTAGCCTGTAGCCATTTGAAAATATCTAGTTTCACCAAACATTGGAAAAGGTTGAGTTTGGAAAATGGGTCTATGAGAGCTTGGTTGAATATCCCTCTGCAAATCTACAGAGGAACTTTTGTTTCTTTGGCTAGGATCCCACAGTCCTGCTTGAACTTAGGAATACTTGAGTTTCAAAAGCATGTTAAATAAAGCTGACAAGACTGTTTTGGTATTTTTCAGAGAATACTGTAATGATGTAAAAAAATCAGAAAACAACACGGAATTTCTATTAAATTTCAATGAATTTATTGATAGAAATACTCCAAGCAGTCCTTCATGTAAGTATTCTTCCCTGTTTACTCAAATTTTGCCTTTAGGAAAATACTTATTTGTAAACAAGTTAGTCAAAGTGACATCTTACATGTCCAAGTCCATGTTTTGAAGTTTTATCTTTACTTTTTAAAAAACAGAATTATATCTGGCAGTGGATTTTTCTACCCAAAATTGAGATTCTAAAATTAATTTGCAGTTTTCTGCATTTAATTAGAAATGATTGCACTGCTGCAGTGGTGGACCCTGAGCTTCAGGGTGGTACTCATATTGAAATTGGGTCCTAAACTCTCTTTACAGTGAGTGAGGAAAGCAAGGCATTCAAACAAACTGTTGTTAATGTGTTGTTCAAACAAAGAATTCAATGTCTGGATTTGTTTATTTATATATAAATAATTCTCATTATTAATCACTTTTAAACATATGGATATTTTTTCCTTATTTTTCCCAAGTCTTTTTGACATTTTGCTCAGTGGATCAACTTGAGGGGAAGGCCAGGCCTTCTTACATAGTAGTTTTCATCCAGAAAAAAGAAATATATATATATATATATATCATAAGAATATCTTTGCTAGACCACATAACTGAAGGGATGTAAGCTTAGTAAGCAATCTTTTTATACTGAAACTGTCTTATATGGCTGTTTGTTATCGTTTTTCTATATAATGATCTCACTCACTAATAAATCACTGTCTATCTGATATTTGATTGAACCCCTTGATTCAGTCTAGGAAGAGAAAGCTTTCATTTCAAATGACTAAACTGGTGAATAAATGAAAATACTAGTTTATTAGGCACCAGTTTTATAAACTGATTTTGAGGACACATTTAATGATAATGTAGTGTACACCAGGACTTGTAAGTAATTATGACAAATAAAATACACAATTTTTGCTAGGTTTCATTTTGAAATTTACTATAAAATTTCCTTTTTTTCTTTTGCTTTCTCTAATAATTTGAAGTTATGTAAAATACTCTTAGAAAAAGAAATAATTCTGACAGAAGGAAGCAACAACTATTAGAATTATATACTTGGTAAAAGCTGTTATTTTTGACTCATTTCATTTAATCTTAGCCAGTTTTTAGCCAAGAAGTCTAAACTAGCTGTGCCAGCTACCTCTGTCACTACTAAGGGGACAGTAAGAGCTATTCACCCTACTTGTCTCAGACATCTACTTTATATAGGCAAGTACCACTTTTGGGAGATATGTGGTTTACCAGGGCATTCTAAGCCAAAGGTACAGCTAACAAAATAGTGGCTGTCCATACTAGCAGAGCAAAATACTGCTGTAAGACATACATTGATTCTTATATGTGGATAGACTTCCCGTTTAATTTCCAAGAAAATGTGGATGCAGCAAGGCCCTCCAAATCCGATCCATGGGAAAGTTAGTAGGGCCTTTTCATTTGTTACAGATGAAGAAATACTTCTAAAACAGTACCCTGAACTTATGTTACATACTGTACCACAGCAGCATGCGGGTGAATTGGCAGGTGGGTCTGGGGCATTAGACACAGTTTAACAGGGTGACCTGCCTGAATAATGTGCATGTCTTAATTAGTATTAAATTAACATGCAGTGTCTCATGCTGGTAGATCAGAGCTTGTGATCAGAGCTAGCTCTGTGTATAGCATGCTTAAGCATTTAGATTTCATTTGGTTTTACCACAAACCATTTTTGCTAGGGCTTGCAAAACTTTTTAATACCAAAATACTGTATTCATCAATTTATTCTGGGAAAGCAGTTTGAATTTGCATTTTTTTAATGAAAGATTCAGTCTGAGTTTCCTGGAATCGGAAACTCAGGGTAAAACCCAGGGCACATCATGGATCTGTACCATGCGAAAGTGAAAAGTCTCTCTTTGTGTGTTTCTATCTTTCCCAGAAGGAGATTTCAGTCCTCTCTGAAGGGCAGAGCTCTTGGAGTTTTGCTTAGATCAGATTTGAGCTGTACCTTCCAGTCATGGTTGTGACACCGATGTGCTCTGTGCCATGGAAGTCCAAGTGCCAGAATTTTCCTTTACGTTGCCCAGTTCCAGTTTGGCCCTGCTTTTGCTTCTTTACTCTCATTTTTCCACAGCAATAAAATGAATCTTAATATACTTTCTTAGTTGACCTTTCTAAGAACTTTCTCATGCAAAGTGGTGCTGAGAAGGACCCTTGAGAAGCACTGACTCAGACCTTCTGTTCAAAGTTACTTAAAAAGAACAAATTTATCTGAGTTATTTATCCAAAATTAGTTTATTTCCCTGTGCCCGTTTTTGGGTAAATGACAATATATTTTTCAGACGCCAATACGTAACTGAGTAAAATAAATGTATATTGTAGTCAAATTATCTCAAGTTTCGTACTTAAAGTAAGAATTAAGTGTTGTTTAATTACGTGCTTTGAGAAACTGGGATGACGAAAGTTTGAATGAAAACATGATTTAAAAATGATTTAATCTCCAAATTCAATCCAGAGGCCTTACAGAATTGGGACCTTTTCCCTTAAGTAATTTGCTTATTCCTACAATGCAAAAAAAAAAAAAAAAAAAGAATTTATTCTTTTAGTGAAAACAATGAGGGAAAAGCTTAAATGTAGCCAGCAATTTCCAGAATGGTCCATTTAACAGTAAGTACTTGAAGCAACTTGAAGTTAATCTGAGAGAAGTGACCCAATTTTCAGAGGCAGTAGCATCTTGATGACTTCACATCTCATTTTAACAATTTAATAAAACTCAATGTCAGACTGTTTCAGCTAAGTGTCTTAACTCTTTTGCTAGGTAATACTGATATGATCATTAGAGTTTTGCTGGATGCAGGATTTACAAATGATCTTGCTCAAAATTACTGGAGTAAGCTGTCTTTGTAAGTATTATTTTCATTGGTTTTGATTTTTTTATGAATTAGTTTGAAAATCAAATTATTTCTAGTGATTTACTAAAATAGTAGCATTTACACATAGATATATAATGTATACAAACCATTTTTACACAGGACAGAGATTTAATTCATAATTATGTAGTTAAATGGCAACCATTGACATGGGAACTTGTAAGAATTTCAAGTAGTTTTAATTGTAGTTCTTATTTTTATTTATAGTAATGGAGTTGTTGCACAATTTGTTGTTACGGATGGTGGAATTACTAGAGTATTCCCCAAAAGGTAAGAATCTATTATAAAACAATATAGTATGAAGATGAATTTTGAAATCTCAGATGACTGGAATGACTGGGAATCTCGAAGGCGCTTTCACAGAAACTCTTTAAGTTGTTTTTCCACCATATTCTCCTATACAAAATAGGGAAGTACTCCAGAAACTCTGTTTATGTAATAGGGGTGAATTTTACTTTCAAAGTTCCCCCCACTGATTTACCAGACTGCCTTATAAACCCTTATGGTTTACATGCTGATGGATGCTGACACTTATGCAGAGAAATCTATAGCACCACTTCTGGTGTAGCATCAACTATGAATTCTAGCTAGCTATAGAGTTGCTATTAAATATATATACACATGTATATATACACACACACATATAAATATATACATATACATATATATATATATATATATTCTGAGATTGTAGGAAGAACGTGACAGAGGAAATGTTAATGATACAACTTAATGTATGGGATACCTGTACTTAGAAGTTGCTGCTGTTAGTAGTGCCAGTGGAGGGTATGGTCTCAGGGTGTGGTTAGTGTGTACGTACCCCACACCGCTTCCTCGCATCCAAAGCATGCCATTGCAATCCAAGTTTCTCATGGGCGTGAAGTGAGCAGTAGTAAAAAGAGCTCCTTGTGGAGAAAGGTACTTGTGTTACCCCCTGGTTGTTCCCAAGTGTGTTCCTGCCTGACAGAGTGCTAAAGTCCAAGAGCCACAGGCGATTTCCTATAAACTGTGGGGAGCAGAACATTGGGTGCAAGGAGTTCCAGGGAGAAGAATGTTGCTTTAAAAAAAAATGTGGCCTTATCACAGAGTGAAAAAGAGGGTTATGAAAGGGTTCATATTATCAGCTAAACACTCAGCTTCAATCAGTGGGTACCGGTATTCACATATATATGGCAATATGTATGGTAAATGTATCTATGGTATATGGCAAATGTATGTATTTTGTTAGGTTATTTTGTACGTTTCATCAAAATGAGGGATTCCCAATGGATTTTTCTCCCCAAATCAGTTTATTTTTGTTTTGTTATCATTAATAGTATAAAATCTTTTCATATTTCTTAATTTCTCAAATTTCTTAAGAGACAGTATGTGGTATAAAGGTTCGCTTTTATTTTCTTCCAAGTAATGCTGCAGTTGTATTTGTTTAGATGTATCTAAAAAGCAGGAGGTTTGGTCCATGTTGTTCCAAGAATATTCTTTTCCTTATTTTTTTTCAATAAGCTTGTTTTATTAATTGTACCTAGCTGCTAAATCGATGAAAGCTGAGAGTTTTACAAAATGCAGTCATCTAAGCATCAGCTGAAGACTACTATGAATAAATCTTGAAGACTACTATGAATAAATCTAATATTATTTTCACTTGTGAAACATAAATACCTCGTGCAGCACAATTTTACTTAGAAGCTATATTTCCTTTTTAAATACATTTCTTTACTCATTTTTGTTTATTTTTTAATTAAAATTTTTCATAAATAGGGCAGGAGAAGATTGGTTGGAAAATGCTGAAACTTACGAAGTCAGCTTCTATAAACGGAGCTTAGATAATGACAACTACATTTTCACAGCTCCGTACTACAACAGTAAGTCCTCACTGTTTTGAAATTCTCACAGCTAGTTGGTCCAATGTAAGTACATTTGTAGGGCGTTTCCTTGCCCGTTAAACTCACTGACCAAGGTTACAGTTATGAAGCGTGACACTTTGTGAGAAAAACAAAGCTGGAACATCACTCAGTATGACAGAAAAAGTACCCAGAAGGGCATTAAACAAGGGAAATAATATCCACTCTGATGTCCCTATATGCTTAGAATTAGCAAAGCCAAGAGGATATGCAGATTTTTCATTTATTATCCTGGACCAGTGGTTTCTACAGATGTTTTGGCAGAATTGTTGTAAAGGAAGGGAAAAAACACTGCATTCAGGGAGACCAACACTGTCTAAACCTTTGCTTCCAAAATCTATTTCCAGTCAGTCAGCGTTATTTGCCAAAAATGATTTCTCTGCCCTGCTGTGAGATTTAAAACCTATATATGCACAATCATAAGTGTATTAGCAAGAGGAGGCTCATTCGTGATGTGGGCAGCATTAACCTTGCCAAGCTCTCCAAAAGCAGATACCACCACAAATGACTTAGTCCTCTCTTAAAACATGTGATCTTTCCATATTGTTATTTTGTATTTATTTATTACTTTCTTCTTTTAAAAAATTAAAATATTAACAAGATAATTGAATAAACTCCCTAAAGCCCTTGTTCCTTGGAGACCTTGAGGGAATGTGTTTTAAAATTGCTTTTTCATACTAAGTAGTGCTGAAAACAGGCTGAAGTCTGTCAAAGTAGTAATTGTCAGCTAGGGAGTGGTGTCAGTGTGCTCTCTATTGAAAAATACACAGACGCCGGCGTGATAAAATCTCTGGCTCCGATTCCAGTTTTAATAGAGCTGCTCACATGTAAAGTTATTCATGGCTTTGTTTACTGAAAAAAAAGGCTGCACTAAGTGTATGAAGTCGTGAAACCATGTGCGAAAAATGAATGAAGAAAAATAAACATAATTATTCCTCTTGGTCACCCAGATGTTAGTGGTCTGAGCTATTGCAGGTGATAACAAGAAACACAACTGGGCTAGTGTTTTCAAATAAAAGATTTTGGGGATTGATAGCAGATATTTGAACAATCACTATTTTCAGTTTCAGAGAAAGAGCTTTCTGTTTCATGCTTATCATGCTAACCTCCTTTTTTATTTTATTGTTCCCCCCTTCTTTTTCTCCTCTCAGAAAGCGGTGCCAATAGCTATGAGACAGGGATAATGGTAAGCAAGGCTGTGGAAATAACAATTAATGGGAAGCTTCTGAAACCTGCAGGTAAGGGAGAATGGTGCTGAAATGCTAAATACAGGGGTTGTTTTGTTGTTGCGCCACAGTGGGGTCAGTTAGAAATTTAATTGAGATTTCAAAGGAGCTTCAGTTCATACAACACCGAATTCGCTGAGACTGTTCTATTTTTACTAGTGAAAATCCAGCCACATTTCTGGCAATGTTACAGTAAGAATACTTAATTTATTAGTCTCATGAAGGGCCCTGGTGATCAGGTAACTGAGCGAAATTAATTTTATTCTTTTTCCAGTGTAAGAAGTTAGAATTTTCTACTTTTTTTTTCCTTTGGATTCTACAGTTACCTATTTTTTTTCATTTTAGTAAAAATTACTTTTATGTATTTCTTCTTAGTTGTTGGAATAAAAATTGACGCAACAAGCTGGATGGAAAATTTCACAAAAACCACAATCAAAAGCCTGGTAAGCAATTGACCAAGTCTTTTTTGAACTTTATTTGCATTTCTCAAAGCTTCAGATGCAAATAGGTCTAGCAACTTTTTGTGCCAGAGTCGCACTGCTGCGTAGTTGCCAAGTAGTTGTGGGATTTAAATTATTCAAATGCACCAAAAAAAAATCTATGTTGAAACAGGCTGTATTTTGTATGTCTTGCCTTCATAATTATAGTAGATGGATAAAGACAAAGAAAAATGACATATTCTAGTCAGCAGACTCCCTGTAACAGTAAATAAAATCTTCAGAAGAATTGGTTTCAAAAAACTGGAAAAAATAAACCTATTCATATAGAATATTAAGGGTATATAAAGTAGTTACTAGTGAGCATTTATATTACAAGCAATGTCACGACATTTCAACAGAACTTAATGAAACAGATGCTTAACCCTTTCATTCCTTAAATCTGAAGTTTAGGTGGAAATGGGAAGGAAAAAAAGAAGGGGGAAAAAAAAAAGGAATTATTTTGGAATAATGGTGGAATAAAACACCTTTGGAAAGGAGAGACCCAAAATGGAGATGATTATGGGACAGTGGGATCGGGCTCGGCTCCTCAGTTTCTGATATACTAATGCAATCGATCCATTTGTAGGGCCGGTGCAGAAATTAGAGCTGGTGAGCCAAATGCATTGACTGCAATATCAGAGCACCTAAGGACAAAACACACATCTGAGAAAGAGAGAGTAGTGTCTCAGAATGAATTTGGGATGAGTGACTGCAGAACTATCTGGTAGTTGGTTAGCTCCGGACATAATGCAAGGAAACGGTCAATGTGTCTATATGTATTGTGAATATGTATTGCAAGAAAAAGAGAGAAATATTAGTGAACAGAACCACAGAAGCAAACAGAAGGTGGGGAACTTCTTAATCTTATTGGATTTACATGCTTTAGGATTCATGAAACTTGCTGATCTCTTTATGGTCAAAAAAAAAGGAAGTGTGGCCATGTGTTTTCTAGTCTTCTCTTGCATCCCCAAAACAGGCAAATGGACATGTTCTCTTGCTTCCATTTTATATTCCCAATAGTAACTTCCTGACAAGTCCCCTGAACTGTAATACATTAAAATCTATTTGTCTCTATATAGCAAGTATTGTCAAAAAGGAAAACACAGCAACGAGTCAGTGAAAGGGATTGTGCTGTTGCTAATTACTGAAGGCAAGTCGTTCACACAGATGCTTCACAACAAATTGCACATACACAAGCCTTCCTCCTCCCACAAGCTCTATGAGGTGGATTAAGACATAGAACATAGATACTGAAAATCAGATCACTTGGTCTTGTCTTGATCACTAAACATTTCTGAGAAATGCAGTTTTGTTTGAAAGTTTTTTTGAAAATGTCTGTGCTTGTGTTTTTTAGTGCAACAGTGAAATCTGTGGCTGTGAAAGAAACAGTATGGTAAGAGTATATTTAGTTTATAAATACCTGGCAGATGATTAAAAATCACTCCTATGCTGTCTAGACCTATCTAAGACCACTCTTCTATCATGATGTTTTCTGAAATTTATAATCAGAAATCAGTTTATGAAAAAAATGATCATTTGTGTGTTAAGAAAAATGAAGATTAGGAGGGAATAAAAGGGGAAACAGTCAGATAGAATGGCTGTTGCAGAACTTATTGCTATAATGTTATGAGAACTACAGAGAAGAAAAAAACAATATAACGAGTAGAGGCAATAAAGAATGATATGAAGAAAAAACATGAAAAAAATAACAGTAATTTTCAAAGCAAAAGGTGAATTGCAAGGAAAAGGAATGAGTAAAAACAAGAAAAAAAAAGAAAAAAAAAAAGCTAAAGAGTACTTCGGATAAAGATAATTGCAAACTGAAAAGCACCAAAGTACCTGTTGTACCCTTCAACAGTTATGAGTCATCTTCCTTTCTCCTGTTTTCAGATCGTTCAGGATTTGGGATCTCATAACTCTGCTAGCACTCAGGAGAGCTGTCACAGTATGAGGTTCAGCCATGTGCTTAAAAGGTTTCTCTGCTGAGGTCTTGAAACTGAAAAAACAAAAAAGTTTCAAGGGGTTTGAAGAATGAGTGTAAAATGCAGGAGTTATAGCAAAAAGAGCACTGGGGGAGGTTGTCTACGTGGTATCACCAGTGTCCCTGTGATCCCTTGTCTACAAGGATGTTCTACACATGCAAAGTACGAGTGGCCAGTGGTCTTCCCACTCCTGCACAAAACAGCCAGCTGAACCCCACTGCCAACCTGGGCAAGAAATGTGAAAACAACAGTGAATATTAAGTAGGGAATCTGCATTTAGGACTTCTGCCATTAAAAGCTGCAAATGGAGAAGAAAGGTCTTTAAGCGTGGCTGAAAGCACACCAGAAGTTGTACTCCATTATTCTGAGTTAAGACTCAAATACTGTGAGGTTTAATAAGGCACTCCTAGAGCTAACAAAGACTTTACAAAACAGCTTTTGAAATTAAGCCACAATGAAGCTTTGATCTGTACAAACATTTGTAAAACTGATAATGCTGCTTCTTATAATTTAATGTTGGCCCTTAGCAATTTAGCCTGAGCCACACAGATTGGAAGATACTTCAGAAGTGTTGAATAAACAAGTGTTTCTCACAGATTGTGTTATGAATCTCTCCTGAAAAAAACATGTTTTTACTTTTTATAATAGCATGTGGACTGTGTTATCCTTGATGATGGTGGATTTCTTTTGATGTCAAATCGAGATGAGTATACCCAACAGGTATGGATATTTTTAAGTACGGTAAAAATCACTCTCAGCTTGGCCTAAGAGTAGATGTTTCATGTAGATATATTGTGCTCTCCAGAACTTGGAAAAATGGGTCCGAGATTGGAAAAAAAAAGTCTGAATTAAGAAAGAAAAATGCTATAGATAGGGGTAATCACATGCCAGTGCTCAAGCTTGGTCCTAAGCTTTGTTGCAGGGCAGAGATTTAACTGTAGACTTTGATCAGTAATCATGTAATTTGGATGTTAAACGTTCTCTCCCAGGTAATGTGAGAGAAATGATCAGACAGAAACATATATACAGGCAGTATATATACAACAGATATACGGACTCAACCGAATGAGTTTCCTTGAGAAATGAATTAGTGAAAAGAATTCAAAGCTGTTAACTTATTTTTTCCTTCTGTACACATATAAAAGGGGTATCCAGAAGTGCTCTAACTTATTTCCTTGTACTTTCCCACACCAGATTGGAAGATTCTTTGGTGAAATTGACCCTGGCCTGATGCGAAACCTCATTAACGTGTCCTTATATGCCTTCAACAAGTCTTACGACTATCAGTCTGTCTGTGATCCAGAAGAAGAACCAAAACAAGGAGCTGGACTTCGTTCTGCTTACGTGGTCAGTAGGCCCTTGTGAGGTTAGTGACATTCCTTGGAAAGTGTGCAGGTGTCTGTGCCAATAACACAATCTTTGTTCTTTTTTTTTTCCCAGCCTACAATAACAGATATTTTGCATTTAGGATGGTGGGCTTCAGCAGCTGCCTGGTAAGCGTTTATGAAAGCTATATATCAAAACTACAGTTATTCAGTGTTATAGACTGGGTTAATCTCTCTCTCTCTCTCTTTTTTTTTTAATGTTTAGCTATTAAGTCCCCAAACTCCCTTGAAAATTCAATATTTAGTCTACAATCATATCCTAAACTGTTCTTGCCAATCAGAGCCAATATGCTCTGACATTTCAGGAAGTAAGTTGGATGATATATTTGTCCAAGTCTGATGGACTGGTGTGACGATTCAGATGAAATTATTATTTTCAGAATTATTTGTTCCTATTTCAGAACACTTTCTTTCACTTCTTGTAAGAAATCTTAAGAAAATCAGTGTTTGCTCCTCAGTTATCTGAATGCATACAGGCAATAGCAAGTGTAAAGTCTAGTTCAGAATGCAAGATAACCTATACTTTGTTTGGCTGCACATTTAATTAAGGGTTCCCACATAAATTATTTGCTGGTTTTTTTTTGAAACCATAATGTATTGCCTTATATATGTAAGATTCTGTAAAATATCCCACAATGCTGTTCACATTTTGTTTCAAATTTTCCCTTTTTCTTTACTCAAAAAACCTGTAATATAAAAAAAGCACTTTGTTTGATGCTCTCATAATATGTCCTAGTGCTTTTTACCAGCATGGATTCACCAAGGGGAAATCTTGCTTGACTAACCTGATAGCCTTCTATGATGGAATGACCAGCTGGATAGATGAGGGGAGGACCTCACCAAGGCTTTTGACACCGTCCCTCACAACATCCTCCTGGGCAAGCTCCGGAAGTGTGGGATAGATGAGTGGACAGTGAGATGGATTAGGAACTGGCTGGATGGCAGAGCTCAGAGAGTGGTGATCAGCGGTGCAGAGTCTAGTTGGAGGCCTGTAGCTAGCGGGGTCCCCCAGGGGTCAGTCCTTGGTCCAGTCCTGTTCAATTTATTCATCAATGACCTGGATGAAGGCACAGAGTGCTCCCTCAGCAAGTTTGCTGATGATGCCAAACTGGGAGGAGTAGCTGATACCCCAGAGGGCTGCGCTGCCATCCAGAGGGACCTGGACAGACTGGACAACTGGGCAGTGAAAAACCTCATGAAGTTCAACAGGGGCAAATGCAAGGTCCTGCACCTGGGGAGGAATAACCCCAGACACCAGTACAGGCTGGGGACCGACCTTGTGGAGAGCAGCTCTGC